AGAGCAGGTGGAGAAGTTCAAGTACCTCGATATTGTATTTACTAGTGATGGAAAATTGGAGGAAGAGATCGACCGGCGAATTGGAGTAGCCAATGGCGGTCTGCGTGAATTAGACTTATCCGTTGTGACCAAAGCAGAGCTCAATCTGAAAAGTAAGCTTTCATTGTTCAAGTCGATCTTTTTCTCCATGCTTACATACGGTCAGAACTCGTGGGCCATGACTGAAAAGTTTCGAACCGGGATACATGCTGCTGAAACTGGCTTTCTTAGACGAGTCGCTATCCTCGTGCGTCTCGACATGGTCCAGAACACTGACATCAGGGAGCTCCTTGGTGTACAGGCTGTGCTTCTCCAGATTGAGACGTCACAATTGCGATCGTTTGGGCATGTGTTGCAAATGCTTCGAGAAAGGTAGACTAAGCAACTCTTTCTTGCGAAACCGACCGGTAGAAGGCCCAGGGAACGGCTACGATTAACCTGGTGCAAATATATGGAAGGAGTCTGTTCCAGACTCCAGTTTTCCTTTGCCGAAGCTCAGACTCTGGCACATGATCGGAAACGTCGAAAGCTCTGTCTGACGTGTATGCCTCCGCGACCCGAACTTAGATGCGGCCATGGAAGATGAAGATGCAAATGCATTCGACTGTGATGCTCTCGAGAGAAGTTCAGGCAAGAATAAATAATGCGCTTTAAATCAATTATCGAAAGGTCGTTGTGTTCAGAAGATGGGTTAGAAATTGCAACCATCACCAATGAGGTTTAAAAACATGTTTTTCAATGAGAAGGACTGTGAAAATCTATAGATAACAAGTCTTCTACAGATTTACCTGTTTGCTAATGCTACTATTTAACTGTTCTAAATAAATAGTACTTTTGAAAGGTTCAAATGCTCTGGTATCGTGACCTGTTTCAATGGCTCGCTAGATCTGAATGTGGGAAATGACTGTGTCACAATTCCGTGTATTGTATACCTCGAGTTAACATTATCTTACATTTTTTATGACTACCACAATGAAGAAAAAACTAATAAAATGTATGTTTACAACCTACGCAAAAGAATTACTTTACAGAACAGGAAGTAAACGCTTCCTGGACACAAACGATGGACAGAAGGAGACGGTGTTATTTCGAACGGCATACCGAAATGCCTGTGCATAAAGACTGGGAACACCGTGCCTCCGACATCTGAAGGTACTGTATTTCCTTTGGAAGGATGCTACGGAAACCTATGGCTATCAGATGCGGTTTTCGAACTTCAGTTATATTCGTACGTTACACCGTCATTGAAAGAAAAAATGGCATTGCGCTTTGATTTAGTTTTTCTAATCTGTATGATAATACACAAACTGAACTGATTCGTTCATTCATTTCTAAAGTAAGCTGTTCATTTGGCGTCAGAGGGATGAGAAGCCGCCTCGGCCGACCTTTCCTGTCTTTTCAATTCGTCCCAGTTCGCCGTCAAACGGTTAAATTCAAAAGGTGCCTGGATTCCCAAGACCTACAATGCCGGGTCTTGCCAATCGCATTGATAATATGCAAATCTGCAACGCTGTGTTGCTTACGCTAGACGCGTTGGCAGCCAGAGTTGGACGTAAGATCGTTAGGTCGTTTGGTCGGTTTGCTCAGTTCAGGGCGGAGAAGAGCAAGACAGGCAGATGAGCGTAAGGCTACACCGTCTCGTCGACGCCTGCGTTATCTTCGCCGACCGACAATATGACGGTGGCGCGTCTCCAACCAAACATACGGCATAAAATGGGCAAGCGACGACCTTCGGACCCTTAGACACCCACCCTCTACAGCCAAGAACCTACAAACGACAAGTGAGAAATGGAAACGACGAAAGCACATGCAAATTCTAATACATGATGATGACTTGATGATGCGAAGTAAAATCAGTGGCGACATAACAGAGGACGAAGATAAACTATTAATTCCAAGTCTGAACCTGCAATGAACTGATAACAGTACAATCATAAATCATGTTTTGAAGTCACGTGCGGTGCGATGGATAATGGTGTTGCCTTGGGTAATTTCATATACTGGAGTAGGTAAAGAATGTCTCATCTGTTTGTCGAGCTTTAGATCGTGGCTATCGCGCGAAGGTCATTCACTGTGCTCAAAACAACGACAAGGGATCGATACGTGCTTGTCAAATAGTAATGCATGCAAATTAACGCCCCTCTAACTAAAGGCCGCCGACTACTATATTCGAAGTCGAAACCAGGTTACAGCGAGAGGCAGCCTTGAAGACCAACGAAGGATCCTTCTACCTGCAGCTAACCGCTGGAAAAACACAACCTCTTACAGTAACACCACATGGCCCACGAGCAAACAGTCATCGAATATGCAAATCTGAGGTTGCATATCCTCAGTGATGAAGACGGCGTAGAATGGGTGAAGAAACGATTTGATTTCAGACAGGGCGAACAGTGCTGAAGAAACAAATTCTCAGCAATTTTGAATGCAATACATGCATGCGTAATTTCTTGCTTCCTGTACAAAACATCAGATCGTGCATTCGGCGGGAACGCTGACTGTGGATAATGTCGAGAATTATGACAAGGTAAACGGTCGACGAGAAAGCTATTAAGCTTACCTTCCATTCTGATCGCATCAACCACTAATGTCAACGACGAAACAGACGACGCAGACCAGACGGCAAGGACGAAAGATGAAACGCACAACCTTCTGAAATCACTGAAGCGTGTCGACAGATTCAGGAAGTGGCTGCATTCTGGACAAGAGCTAGCGCTGCCCTGTCTTTTTCTGGACTCAATAGCTTCCGGTTGCGAAGCGACAAGTCCGTAAGAAACTCGGAAACAAATAGGTGTCGTCGTCGACTCAGGTCAGCTTTCAAC